TAAGCCTAATTATGACAGACTCAAGTTTCATCCACTTAGCTACACTGGCTTTCAGAATGAGCATGCCAAATCTATGAAGGTGGCTAGTTGCAGTCTTTACTACTACAGTACGCTCTCCTTCAGAGACTGCACTCAAACCCAGGAATCCTGATTCCTAATATTCCAAAATGTTGACAAAATGTGTTTCATATCCCTCTCTAATCATTGGTCCATACAGGATAACTGTCTACTACTGCTACCTGTTGGTAGATGTCTGTATTGTGGATATGGAAGTTCTAGGGCCAGATCCAGCTGATGACTCATAAAGGGAGTCAACATGTTTCCATAGGATATTTCTGGTTTTTCAGTATGTTAATTAAAAACCTAGGAATCCACATTAAAAACACCCCTACATTAAGGGAATGTTCAAGTTGGAAAGTCAGGCAACTCGCAAGTTAAGAAATTCCGGAAGCAAGATTTCTCTGGAATCTTAATTTGGCTTCCTTGTGCATAAGGATGATGATACGCTATCTCCAACTACTTGTTCTACAGGAACACTGTCTCATCCAGTGGACAGGCTGGACAGTGAAGGAGACAGAGGGTTGTAAGATGAGGATGTTGTGTTTTAAAGCACAGGGCTGGAACCCAGGAGGCTTGCATTCTGCTTCTGGGTATGCCACAGACCACCTATACTGTTATGATGCACAATGGGACAGAACTCTTCCATGCCTGATTTTGTAAACTTAACTTTCTTTTTAAAGTTTTTTGAATGTAACAATATAGCATCCTGGAAAGGCTAGACTGAACTCAGATGTTCCTGTTTCAAAATTACTAAATTTATTATTTATGAACAATACGTGACTTGAATAAATAATACCCAATTTGTTAGTTGCAAGCACCAGGACCAATTCATTCAGTACTTTAGACCAAAATTTTTAGAGAGAGACTCTTGGTGCAGAGCTTGGTGATAAACTTCCAGACATTCTGCTAAAATAAAATAAAATAAAAAAATAAAATAAAACTCTTAGGCTTTTTGAAAGAGTTTGATGGATATTTACTTAGATATGGGCAGGTCTTTATATTATTCTATTGTGTATTCTTATTTATGGGATAGGTGCTCAAGGTATACTTGTTTTTGTTTTAAAATAAATTTGGTGAAATAAATCCACATTTAAGCAGCTAACAAAGGGCCTGACCTAAAATGTGCTCACTGCTTCTGTGAGGTGCTGAGTACCCTCAGCTTCCAATGGCACTTTCATGGGAAATTACCTTCCGGGGCCTGATCCAAAGCCCACTGAAGTAAGTGGAAAGTCTTCATTTATTCCAATTAACTTTGGGTCCACCCACAGCACCCTGCCGGACTAGCTTCAAAGGCGGCCTGGTTTTCAGATGTGCTGAGCACTCATGACTCCTATTGAAGTCAACAGGAGCTACAGCTACCATTGAAGTAATGCTGGGAATTGGGCCCTCAAAACCTCAGAGGGATTCAGCAACTTTCAGGATAGTATCCTTAATTCAGGTGCCTCTAAGAGGACCTACTTGCCTAACTTCAAGATCTAGGTTTTAAAACTTTTGCCTTAGATCAAATGCTTTCAGTTCAGCTTAAGTTTGTGGCAATGATTATTTAAGCTGCACACACTTAACATATTGTCCTACGAAACACTGAATTTTCTTATCAGTAATACTTGTATGAACTTCTTTATGTCCCAATCCTTTAGGAGTACACTCTAACCTTGATCCCTGGTGTGTAGTTACATGTGCATATGTCTCATTAATACTGACCCTCATACAAAGATGTATATACTTCTAAATCTCAAATACCAAAAAACACCATGCAAACCAACATGGTCAACTATTTAAAAAGGTATTTTTCAGGTTTTTTGTGTTTTTTTTTTTATTTTAATGTTAGGGTACCTTGCTAGTACCCTCTAAAAGGCTTGAAAATGCATCATTGTTTCTTATTACGAATACTCTGCATTTTGCTGTATCTGAACTGCTGGTAATATTTACATGGCTGGTACTTTACAAACTCAATTTATTTATCTTATCTACAAATATATTTTGGCTTCAATAGCTAATTTGATGCACTGCAATATGATTAGCAGAGCTGTGCAAATGGCTTTAATCAAACTGAAGAGTACTCAAATTAGTCTTGGCTTGAGTTCAAATTGAAACTGTCAGAAAATAGTATTGTGCTTGAATTTTGTTAGTGTTTATAAATCGTCCAAAGTAGTATTTTATTGTGGCTGAGTATCTGCAAGATTTATCAGGTTGCTGCATGTGATGCCTTTGGAGTTTGAGCCTGATTATTTGGGACAGGGCATACAGATCAACTCACATGGGGGAATTTACATAGCACTTCATGTAGGCTAGATTGTCAGGGATACAGAATCAGGAGTGTCAATGCACTGCAACCAAAGCCATTTTCATTTGGTTTCACAGAAAGGGGGCAGGGATAGCTCAGTGGTTTGAGCATTGGCCTGCTAAACCCAGGGTTGTGAGTTCAATCCTTGAGGGGGCCACATAGGAATCTGGGGCAAAAATCAGTACTTGGACCTGCTAGTGAAGGCAGGGGGCTGGACTCGATGACCTTTCAAGGTCCCTTCCAGTTCTAGGAGATAGGATAGCTCCATTAATTTAAAAGTGAAAGGGGGTGTGGCGCTGCAGGTCGGTATGGACTGTTATTATCTTATAGGTACATGTAGTGACTGCTATCATTTTTCAGTTAAACAGAACATCTCTTAATAGGCCTGTGTCCAGTAGTTTCAGCCTGAGGGTCAAATAAATTATTTCACATTGATACCAGTTTTGCAAGTTTTTTTCTGCTCCATATGACATTTTATGCAAATGAAGAATTTGCTTATAAGCATGATCTTAGGCTTGCAGTCTCAGACCCTGCTCTGAGTGATAGCAGAGGGTAGGTCACAGAGATTCACAGAGTTGGCAGCTCAGGCTAAGGTAGGTAGGCAGGCAGGCGGGTGTTTGTGTGGGATGGGGGAGTCTGAGTGGTTGTTGGGTGAGCAGATGTTGGTATTGCTGGGGTTAAGGGGCACCTGGAACTCCTGAGTCTCTCTCAAACCCTGATCCTGCAAAGACTTAGAATATGGTACAACTCTGAAATACACATGGTTCCTACCCCAAAGAGCTTACAGTCCATGGCTCTGAACCAGCAGAGACTTATGCACCTGTTTAACTTTATGCATCTGAGTCCCATCGAAGCTAAGCAAGTGCACAAGGATCAGAGCCCTACACTGTAAGCTTTGGGGTAGGAGCCATGTTTCTTTCAGAGTTGATCCATGTTCTGGCTGGCACAATAGGACCCTGATCCTGATCAGAAGCCTCTGGCACAGTCACTACATAAATATTCTTTAATTTCCAAAATAAGTTTTATGGTTATAATAATAACATATACAAAAACCTTATATCTAAAACAATAACAAGCCACATTTTAAATCAGCGAAAGATTAAGATTTCTTTCCCAATACAATTAAACAAAGGGATGTCTCCTTCACCTTCCTGTTCCTCCCCAAAAGGCGAGAGACAGCTGGGTTACAACATTTTGTAATTGCACGGGTTAGTAATAATCACCACATTACTCTCAACCTGGAAGTAGATTTTTTTAGTACTGACAAGCAAAGCCTGGATTCGTTATTTGCAAGAGAACCAGTACAATAATAGGCTGTACATTTGGGAACACATTGGCTACTTACTGTTACTAAACAAATGAACCTTGTGCTGACCTTGAAAAGTCATTCCTGATAAGGAATAAGAACGAGAAACGCTGTCAGATGCCCATTTAGCTACAATTCTTTTGGACGTGGCTTGACTGTACATATAAATGTCACATTAAAAAGGGGGGGGGGGGGGGAAAGAGAGCTCTTAGTGCTTTAGTCTACTCTAGACAGAAGACAAAACGACCTTTTAGCCATCAGCTTGTGATGGAGAGCCTCTCTAGGGTGGGCACTGGAGTCCCAGGATGATAATTGCATAAGGAGTTCATGTGGAGGACTGTGACACTTTTTGGAGGTGACACTAGCCACCTTACCCTTCTGCAACTGAAGTGCAGCGATGGGTTCATCCTAGAGCTTGGACTTCACTTCACTCTATGATAGCAAGGCAGAATCAGCAATAAATGTTCATGTTAAAAACTTCAAGGTAGAAGGCTTTTTCAGGTTGGTAAGAGTTACCAGTGTCCCCTTTGAGAAAAGAAGCCAGAAATCCAACACTGTCCCTTCTCTCAGGTACTTGGTTTGGCACATTTGCCTGTTTCCTGCTCCTACTGTACTCTGCCCATATCCTAAAGCTAGGTGTCAGCACAATGTGACATTATTGAAAGTAGAGCCTATATCTTCCCTTTCCCTTCAACCCATCTTCTTTATTTTCTTCATCTCACCTCCTGGAGAGGGCTGCATGCTCCCAGCTATTCAACTTTCTCTCCTCCATCTCAGAAACATCACCATCCTCCTTGTTATTTCAGCTCACATACTTAGGGTAATTTTCCATTCCTCCTTAGCCTTCTCTCCTCACATCCAAGCTCTCAACCCTTTTACTTCTCCCTTTGACATTTCCAAAATCTACCTGGTCTTCTCTCCAGTCACTCCCATGTTCCCGCTTAAAAAAAAAAAAAAAAAAGAAAGAAATCTTATCCCACTGCTCTGACCATGTTCACTCCTTCCTCAAATCCTTTCACTGAATGTTATGCATCAAGAGATAAGAATTCAAAATTAATGAACCTAGACAACTCTTTCCCTGCTTAAGTCTCAACCTTCATTTCCACCTATTCCCCATCCCATGCAACAAACGAACAAAACATCCCCTCACATCATCAGGTACAAGCTTGTAGTAACTCTGGAAGCTATTTTAGATAATTAAAACTAGATTAGCATAAAACTTTCCCTACACAATTAATGAATAATATTCCCTGCACTTGTGGGATTCTCTGAGGTGTATTTATTTCCCTCTTGTACTGACATTACATCTATTTTAAACTCAGGTGTTCTTGTCTTAAGATAAAAGTAAAATTAGTCACCTATCTCACGTAATTTTCCTATGCATTTTACCTTGAGGGCTTTTTGCGCAGCTTCAGTCGAACCAATGGCAATCAGGTTTGGTCCAGCCATACTACAAAAACTCTTCAGATGCAAAGTGTCATAAACAGGGACTGTGGAGACAGCATAATCCTATGTAGAAATGAAGAAGGTGCACAGTAAATACTTTAAATCAGTACCAGTTCCATATTTGCACTGAGTAATTCAATGACACATTTTAGCTCCTCTGCAAGTTAACTCATCTGCATGTCCTGAGGTAAACTGGCTACAGTCAACTATGACTGTGACACGCCCCTTTGGGCTGTCTTGGCTTGCTTTGTGCATCAAGGAAAAATACAGAACTACTGCAGTTTTCACTACTTGTGCACCTGAAAATAAATCTGTTAAATGTTTAAAAATTACTTCTATAAAAACCCGTCAGGAACTCAAGTGAGAACACGTTCATGCATATTGCTGAGCTTCTCTAGAAGAGGAATGGGAGGCCTAAGATAGTAGCAAGTAGTAGTGACCTGGCACTGCCCTACTTACAGTATTAGTCCCTCAGAACTGACTTGACTCCACATTTCCTTTGTCCCCTTTTGAAGATCTGTGACTTTGATGGATCTGTTGGCTTCTCTGCCTTTTTGTAATTCAGGCCACTACCCAGGAATCTAAATAGAGAGGAGCCTGACTTTATATACCCATTTCTGAACATTTTGGCTAATGTATTTAGTTCAGTGGGCTGTAGTTTAACCCCTTTGTCTGTGCCACAGAAAGCAGAATGTCTTATTGCAGAACAAGTGTACAAACCTTAAATGTGTCAGCCAGAATTTCTGCACCACGTTGATTTGTCCGTTTTGACAGACCCACAAAAAATTCCCTGCCTGAAATGAAGAGATTGCAAAGAATAGTAAAGACAAAATTAATGATTTTTTTTATTTGAATGGCTGAAAAATACATGGACACGAACCATATCTAATAATCAGAACACATACATTTTAAAATTAGGCCAAATTTGAGATGGAGATGTTGTAATATAAAGTCCTTCACAATTATCAATATGAGACTTAACTGTGGCTAAAAAAGTCTAGTAACAAAACTAACTAGAAATGTAGCTTTTAAAAAAATGCAACTTGCAATTGGAAGTTGATTCTAATTAAATTCTTCTTCTGGTGAAGGATAATCACTGTAAATTATACACAAACAGCTCCCTTTCCTTTAAAACTTTGCAATGGTCATAGGATAAATGGACAGAACAGCTGGGATGGATTAGTAAGTCACCGATTGACCTTCTGTTCCTCTTCCGAGATTTCTCCCATTCTTGGATTTTAAACCTCAGTAATAAAGACACAGCTATCTTCAAGGTGCTAGGGAAACAGATACTGGGATCTGTAACATAGTAGAAATGCCTTATTTTTTTGGTTTGCTTAGTCTGAAACAATCTTGTTCCCTTTGTGAGTAAGGCAAGCAACCTGCCTATTGTGATGGTGATCAAAATAAACAGCCTCATTTATCTCAGGCAAGGGGCAAATGTATACCCAGTCAATGTGAGAAAATGCATAATGGGTTTAACTATGTAAAAATCAGCATCGGTATCTTCCCCTTTGAATTTGTTCATGCAAAAAACTTGAGTCGCAAATCCACTTCTCTTCCACGTGACATCTTGCAAGCAAGTCTATTTTCCCCATAAACTACAAATGCACTATCCAGTGTTTACGCAAAGAACTAACCACAATTACGTCTGAATCAAGCTTTTATGATTCCCGCAAACAGGTCTGTGCAAACATGGCTGCCAGTAACAAAAACTATGCAATGATGGAAATAACTTGACTGCTGAAAGCATTTCTTTATTGCTAAGTAATACTTTACAAGCTAGGTGATTTAAGGCTTAAATACACGATTTGTATTGTGTCTACTGCTACTTCCATTATTCTGCATTAGTCAGGAAGTTTTGCATTCAAAAGACATCTCTCAAACTAAAGTGCTGTGCTGCCATTTGGTAAGCAATGACCTAATCAAATCTTTACACTAGTATAAAGTATTTTATTAATAGAGACCAGATAGTGTTAAATTCTCTGTGCAGTCCAGAAAAAAAGAACAAATTCACTTTAATACTGTACCTGTAAATAAGACATCTCCACCATCTAAGGTTGCATTTTCATCTGTCATCTCTACAATGTTGAGGTTAAGACTTTCTAGTGCTCTCTTCATTGCATCAACCTGTTTAAAAGGAAGTAGTTTAGAGTCTCATTTAGGTCCCACCATTAAAAACATCAATTAATCAAATCACAATAGGCATTAGTTTAAATAAAAAAAGAGGGAGTCAGGTAACTGTTAGTAAAACAGAAAGCAAATGTCCTCCATCCCAGAAGGTCCTGCCAATCTCCAATCCCAGAATCCCTTTAGGGGGCTCCAAAGCATGGAGGGCAGGGACGGCTTTAGGACCTGCGGGGCCCGATTCGAATACCCAGCGGCGGTCTGGGTCTTCGGCGGCGGGGGGTCCACTCCATGTCTTCCGCGGCACTGAAGTACCCCCCGCCGCCAAAATGCCGACGAGGACCCGGAGTGGACCCCCAGCCGCCGAAGACCCGGAACAGACCGCCGCTGGGTGAGTAAGGCACGGGCCCTCTTCGGTGTGGGGCCCGATTCCAGGGAATCGGGGGAATCGGCCTAAAGCCGGCCTTGATGGAGGGGATATGTGTGGAAGTGAGTAGCGAGAGTCACTATCTTTCATGCAGACACCATGAAGGATTAGAACGTGCCCACTATGCATGTCAGCCCCAGTCCCTCTCCTGTGCTAATCCCTCAATGCTACACAAAACTGTTTCCTGTGGCCTTGAGTGAAAGAGCGATGGCAGAGAGATGGCATTGTCTACTTCTGCACCTCCTAGTCACAAGGTTTTCTTGTCTATCATCCATGGAGGTGGAGATTCTGACTTGGCCTCTATCCACGAAGGGGAAACATACAAATCAATCAATTTAGTTTTTTTAAGTATCTGCATCTTTACTGATTATTGATGTCTATTGCCTTGCGTTAATGAGCTCTTTGTATTTCTGTACATTGTGGGCTCAGTTCTTCCCTGGGTCTGAGTGCTGCTTAATGATGGGGGAAGCATGGAGTGGAGGTGTCAGAAATCTAGTTATGGTTTCCCCAAGCCTGTTCCAGACCAGCTCCAAGCTCAGAGTAGCCGAGAGACCGCTCTAACTTACAACACTGGTGCAAAGCACTTTATGCCAGCGGAGGGCCAGTATAGTAGAGATCTGCTCCATCATGCCCTTGACAAGTTCCTTCTTCCCCAAACATTCTCCCTGTGTTGGAGTAGGAGGCAGGAGTGGCTGGTATTGAAGCCATCTCCACTGATTGTACTACAGCCAGCTATCCTACATATAGGCTATCACCAACTATACTACAGCCAGGATATCCATTGCCCAGCTACAGCCATCCATCCCCTTTGTGCCGCCTGTGCCAAAAGAAGCTTATAAGTGAAACATCCATAAAAGGTGTAGATAGGGTTGATAACATACTACAGGAACTGCAGCTAATAGAAATAAGGAGTTATTCCACAAAGTGCACAAAGTTCTGATCCTCTTCAACAGTTCCTTATATTACACTATATAGCCAGTTCTTTATATTACACTAGAGCAAGTTACCAGCCATTAGGAAATGTGGAAGATACACTGAGAGTGTCATGAAGTTCTCTGTTTCATTTAGGTCCTGGATCTGCGTAATATGGCAACTTAAACATTTTTAAAAGAAATGAGAGAGTTCCAACATGGCTGACACACACATATAACACGAACAGAAGAGAACAGGAATGTGCAATATTTAAATTAAACAGAGTGATTATGAGAAGGCAGTAAGTAGTCATGCTGAACAACAACATTTCAAGTATGCTCGGCAAACTATAACAAACCCAGCAGACTCAGTTTGCTGAGTTACAATTGAATAAAAATAAGGAAATGCTCTGTTTTTGCAGTGTTGCTGAAACTGTATTGGTCCCAGGATATTAGAGAGGCAAGATGGGTGATAAAAGATAGAAAATATATTACCTCACCCACCTTGTCTCTCCATTTTTGCAAATCGGATAGTCTCACAATTTCAAGAACTTTACAGAAAACAAATACTAGAATACAGTAAATACAATCTCATATTTTTTCGAAAGCTTGTGTGAAACAAGCTGTTGGACCTACATCTAAGAAGAAGACCTCTAATTCCCATGCAGTTCAAATGTACTGGCTATTCAAAACTTACATCTAGTTACATTCCTCCAGTATCATGTGACATTAGGTAACACACTGGCCCCTTTTCTTGGGTCCTGCCAAGCTGCAATCAGCACAGGATCCAAGGCAGAGGGGTGATCCCTCATGTAAGTTACAGCAGCCTCAGTGCTGCTGTAACCTGTGTTCAAGCTACCCTTGCCCCAAATGGGCTGTTTTGGCAGCTGGGAATAGCCAGAGGGCAGAGGTGCTTCAGCCACACCCACTCTTCCCTGACCATTATCCTTACATCAGGGCTGTGACGTAAGAGTGGCATAGAGCTGCTCTACAGCAAACAGGGATTCTCCCTATATTTGGGGGTGGGGGAAGCCAGTTATGATGGATTTGTGGCCACACTGTGCCACCAGACCTGTATTGTAACAGAGAATTGGGCCTACTGGCCTTTTAGAGATAAAGGACTGAGAACCTCTCCACATGGAACTCTATTGAGTTTACTGGGAGTTCCATGCACTTAGGGCTGGAAGACTGAGATCCAGAAGCTGGAATTTGTCTTGTGCACACATTAAGACATCTATTCTGATCGATCTTCAGATTAACCTCAGAGATACTTCAGGCTGAAACGCTGCACTTAAAAAGGTCTCCAGCCAGGATCAGTGGTTTTTTTTGTTTAGCTGGTTTAAGATTTAGTGTGAGACGTTGTAGCAGGGTGGTCACCCCGCTCCGGCCCTGAAGGGGTTAAAACAGCCCTGGAGAGGGCCGCAGATGGGAAAAAGGTAGGCTGATGGGGAAAGCAGCCACAGCTGTGGCCAGCTTAATCAGGGCCCAGCTGGCCCTTATAAGAGGGCAGTAGGCCAGAAGCAAGACACACTCTCTCTCTAGCTTTTGAGAGAGACGGACCTGGCTGCCTGGGAGCTGAGAAGGGTACCTGAGATGGAGCAGTGCTGGGGAAGGGCAGAGGGAGCTGGGGAGCTCCAGCCAAGAAAAACCCCAGGCTGCAGGCCCTGCTAAAAGGGCCAAATAGGTACTAGGGCTGCAGAGGGGCAGCCCAAAGATAGGCAAAGGCAGCAGGTCCTAACCCCCCTTGCCGATGATGAGTGGTTTACAGACTGCAGTCTGCCCCAGGGAGCAGGGGCTAGATGGTGACTGGCAGTAGCCACTGAGGCAAGGTGGGGATAGAGGGTTGGGGATTCCACTAGCTGGGGAGACCCAGATTGTGGGTTGCTGCTGGGGGCAGCTCCCCAAAATAAAGGGGCACCGGGGTCCGGGAGGGACATGGGGTCAGCGGCAGGAGAGACACCGGCCTTCAGAGGGGACTCCGGGCTGGAAGAGCTAATTCCCAAGACAACCAGCAGGAGGCACTGTGCCGGTTAGATGTCGCCCCGCAATAGATGTGTACCTGCTTCAAACACAGTGCTTAATATTCCTCGGTCTTCTAGGACTTTTAAATATAAAGAGAGGGTTGGATCCTTGTGGTATTTTTAAAATAAATGTAAAACAGGTGGGTCAACGTTCAAAATTTGGCTATTGTGCAAGGACTGTAATTTGTTTAATAACTTTCATGCACACTGCTACAATGGCCATATACTACAGATTGATACTGAATTTCTTCCTTTGCCTCTACAGCATGGAAGTCTTTTCCGTGTAGGCACTATGTGCAGAAGGGGAACGGGGCACAAATGAAGGAGAAGCTTGCTATAGGTGAAACAGCAGGTGTGGCATTATTTAAGATACCCAATATAACACCATACGGACTTGGAACATAAGCTAGAATGAAACAGACCAAGTAACTCGTGACTCGGTGCAATGCTACCCTGGCACAAGAATAGAAGCACACAAGAACTCAAGTCACAGGCAGGGAGAGGGATTAAATATACACATAGCATGGGATTACAGAAGGCAGGACGCTGAACTTCCCATCCTCCCACCCCCACAGCCTGTTCTGTAGTTACACATTTATCATTAGTCTGCTGTGTCAATTAACTTCCAAAACTGTAATTAACAAAAAAACAAAAACAAAAACAAAAAACTATCAAGTTTCTACATGGAGACACTGGCCTTGCTGAACTGGGGCGGGGCACAGACACTCTCAAAGCAGTATTCATTCTGGAAATTGAACAAAGTGGGTTCCATAAGAGCATCAAGGTCTGTCGGTCACCAAATTCTGCTACATCCTGGAACAGGTGTCCTTCTCCCTCCCCCCCCCAAAGTATCCAGCCCCCTTTCACCCTCTCATTTCTTTGGTACCTCTCCTTTCCTTCATTCTCCACTCCCAAGTTCCTACACCCCAAGGTTTTTCTGTCCTTGTTCTTCTCCTCTGCTACCATTTCTTGCTGGTTTCCTTTCTTCTGGGTCATTACACCACTCCCTATATCTTTGACCATATTCCTCCACACATTCTCTTCCATTCCTACACAAATGCAGCAGGTCTTCAAGCTTCTCTCTTGGGCTGTTTCAGGGCTAGTTCTGTTTTCAGTGCTTTTTGCCATGGCAAGCAGCCATGCATTTTGGCTGCCTCTGTTCTACAGTAACAAGCAAAATTGAGAGGCAAGACATAGTTCTGTTAATGGGAACTTCACAAAAGAAGGGGTCTCTGTCCTGTTCTCCTCCCCCCCTCCCCCCAATACAATATTGAATCTTGGGGTTTTTTTTGTTTGTTTGTTTTTTTAAACAACTTTCACATACAAATAGGGCCACCTCTATCTTTCATAGGGCTCAGTGCAAAAGTAGGAGGCGGCACATATCTGCTTTCACCCATAACCATGTCCACATATCTTGGGCCCTGCAGAGCAGCCTTCTGTATTTCATCCCTGAAAAATTATGGTTAACTGCTCCTCCCTGCCTAAATCAATCAATCAATCAAATCTGGGGTTCTGGAGACCACTCCTATTAATCCAGAGAGGCAGGAGGTGGAGTCAAAGGGAAACTTTCCAAGAACAGAGCAGTAGCAGGCAATTAAGGAACTCTATACCTGTTGAAGCCTGCTGGCACCAGAATCAGACAGG